ACCCACCATCTCTTTTCCGAGCCCTCCATTCAGGCCGAAAGCCCAGCCCCTTCCGGCTCACAATCAGAAATAGCTGTGACAAAAGTCCCTCCCATCCCTGAAAGTGGCTTTTTAAAAAATGCTTAAAGGCAGACACACGAAAAGATGCTGAAAACTCTGCCAAGCCCAGACCTCAGGCAGGTGATGGCATCACCTTGCAGTAGTGAGAACAGCTCTCAATGGCTTGGCTTTGTGAGTCAGCCTCCTCTGGGCCTCAGTTTCCCCATCTCAGTTGAATCAGTGATTTCTTTCATTCTTTTTTTTCCCTTAACGGCAGAACCCTGTTTTCCAATTGAATCTTGCTCAGAATATCAATCTGAGAGTCATGGAAGTGGAGCTGCTGTGGCTGCCATGGGCTGTATCCCAGATGCTCAGCCTCCCACTGTCCCCAGAATCACCCCAAAGCACTCTGCTCCAAAGGGCCTACTTGAAACCCACCAGAATAAATGACCATAGTCCCTCCTGGCTCTCAAATGAAGTTCCAATCACCTAGGTACCAGGGAAAAACGAACCAAGCCCTTCATGCTGACTTGAGTCAGGGGCACAGACACTTGGCAACCTGCAGGGGGAGGGAACAAAATTACTGGTTCCAAACGACACTGGGCCTGGGTAGGGAGAAGGGGAGTCCCGGACCATCATCCCAGACGGCAGAAAGAAGAACAACCCTGACCCAGGCCCCTTCAAGTTACAGACCTGAAGTGTAGAGCGAGCTGGGACGGATCACCTAAATGAACCCCTGTGTAAAGGTGGAGGATCGAAGGCTCAGAGAGAGCAGCAACTCGCCTGAGGTCACACAGCACCTGGTGGCAGAGCCAGACCTGGAGTCAGGTCTCTTGGATGCCAATTCAGAGAACTTGCCTCCTATTTAAAGTTCAGAGGGAATCAGCAGGAATCTCCCAGGGAAAAGCCCCCAGCTTGCAAACTCAGTACAGGATATTTCGGTGGCACTGGGTGGTGACAGAGCAGAGATGTTTGTTTTGGTTTCCAAATCAATGCTTGACAACCTTGTCGGTGCTACAGTTTCAGCAACCACATTCCCCACCCACCCACCTAGAGCTGATTGGACCAAGGCAAAGCCAAAGTAGTAGTGAGCAGGGCCAGGCTAGGGGATCCCAGGCCAGGGGCTCTGGTTAGGTGGGTGTNAAAGAGCTCAGAGCTGATTGGACCAAGGCAAAGCCAAAGTAGTAGTGAGCAGGGCCAGGCTAGGGGATCCCAGGCCAGGGGCTCTGGTTAGGTGGGTGTTTCCAAAGCATGATTCCCATCCCACTGATGGATGGCACATAAGATGATGTGAGGTGGTAAACAGGTGACTTTTTCCATTTAAATTTTATTGACTACACAAGTGAATAGATAAACCCAATGTGGTCTATCCATACAGTGGAATATTATTTAGCAACGTAAAGGAGCGTACTACTGATACATGCTACCACATGGATGAACCTCAAAAACATTACGTAAGTGAAAGAAACCAGGCACAAAAGACTACATATTATTATTATTCCACTCATATGAAATGTCCAGAAAAGACAAATCTGGGAAAACAGAAAGCAGATAGGTGGTAGCCTGGGCTTGGGGATTAACTGCAAGTGGGCACGAAGGATTTTTTGGGGTGATGCAAGTGTTCTAAAAGTGGATTGTGGTAATGGTTGCACAACTCCATAGATTTACTAAGAATCATTGAATTTTATGCTTAATATGGGAGGATTTTATAACATGTAAATTATATACCTCAATAAAGCTGTTAAAAATATCTTACATAAAAAATAAAACAGGTGGGGATATATGAATGTGGCCACAAGTCTGAAGGCGGAACCCAAAAAGTCTCCAAATTGGAGAACACTGAGCTACACAGCCAACACTGCCCTTTGGGGAAGCAAGTCAGGTCTCCAAGCGATGAGTTCCTCCAGCTGGACCAGAGGAAACCCTGGAACGTTTCCTTTCCTGGCACAGGCTCCTTCCACTGCTCACTGTTTGGGGTTCCATGCTAGACATCCTGGAAGGACCTGAACCATTTGGTGGCCAACAGCCCAGGCAAACACCGAGCTCTCATGCCTTAGACTATGACTCCTCTTATGGACAGGAAATCAGAAGGGGGCTGGGAGCTCAAACTCAGATTTATATATTGTCAAGGCTGCGAAGACTCTTTGAGATCATCTAATCCAGTGGTTTTTAAAGTTTTTAAAAAGCTAATCACATGCCCAACCTCCTTGCAAAAGAAAATTCTTATAAGAAACCCAAATATAAAAACAAGTAAAACCAGAATGTTACTTGTGTAAATTTATATTGCACAGTTCAAATATATAACAGTTACCTATTCTGAATTTGATCACTGAGGGTGATGGGGCTATTTTGATCCATTAATATTTAGAATTGGAATCATGGAAGACAGTTCCACATTCCGTTTAATTTTATCTCCAGTTTTGGCTGCAGAGTATCAAGAAAATCCTGACTCACACAGATTAGCAGCTACAAATGGGAATAGTTTATAGCAGTTTGCTTTGTGATCTCAAAATACTCTTTAGACAAAGAGAGATGACAAAAGGGAGGCTTTCACTGGAGTCCGGCTACTAGCACGTCAGTGCGTAAGTGAACTTTGATGAGTTAACATTAAGAACTTAAAAGGGAGTAAGCACATTTTTATGACCACATTAACATTTTAATATATTTTAAATATTAATTTTTATTTACTATTCAAGGAACCCCTATGGCATCTCTGAGGAAGGCTGGGGCGTGGAGGTGATAGACCACCCACCTCTCCCTTTACATTTAGGGAAACTGAGGCCCAAGTAAGGAAGTATATTTGCTTTGGAAAAATCCAACTTGAGCCCCGAATCAACTTCAGAAAAGATGTGTCTCCCTAGTGTACAAAAAAAAAAAAAAAAA